GGGGGGGGGGGGGGGGGGGGGGTAAAGCTTTATTCTCTAACATATGCATGGTTTTTTTTTTTCTTTTTGTAATTATTCGTTAGGTCGTATATTGCTTGATTGAAGCCCCTTCCTATAGTTGGGGCTCCTTTTGTGTCCTTTTTTCTGGATGCCCCTGTATTCTTTTTTTTTTTTCTTTTCAAGATGAAAACACTGTTCTTTATGGTCCTTGTTGAAATCTCCATTATAGATGGTATTTAATTTTTGAAATCTAACATGTATAATTAATTGTTCAATTTAATTTTCGTACTAAGTTAAAAATTTGTATAGCTTTATTAAAATCATTTGTTTAAGTATAATTATTAATATTGATTGCTATATGACTCAAAATTGTAAAATTGAAGGCATATTATTCCTAATATATTTATTAATGAATGAAAATTAAATTAAAATTTAATTTCTTAAAATTATTTTAATAATTTGACTTAATAAAAAGTAAACTAACTAACAACAATTAATTATCTAAAAGTTAACTAATGTTATAAAATTGTTGTAAATAATTATGAGAACCAAACAAAAATATTATTTATTTGTATGAAATCTTGATAACCTTGCCATACATTATCAAACACATTTATCTAGTACTCAGACAGACGTTTTGTTCCCTGACATCCTATTGTTAGACATCTTAATCAAAATTTTCAACCAAACGACTCCATAATATACAATTGTATGTTTGTTGGGATTTGTTTTATAAATTTTTTAATTGTCTTTTAGTCAAGAGTTTTTTGTCCTTTTCTTTCTTGCAATATCCTTTTTTCCATACAAATGAAAGGTGGCTATGGAAGTCAAAATAGCTGACATGTAAGTTAGTTTTTGTTAGAGTTTGTTTCCCTTTCAACAAATATATTCTTCACATTTTTCCTTGAAATGAAGTGGTAAGTAGTGGATATGTTGAACTCTCTCTTGTGCACAATGCACTTGCACATTCCCATGTTGTCATGAATAATTATATCATTGGTGCAGACCGTGGATACTATTCTGTGGAAACCGTTACACTTCTAGTGGCTCTGAAAGTTCGTTATAGAGATAGAATTACAATCTTGAGGGGAAATCATGAGAGCAGGCAAATAACTCAAGTGTAAGATTATTTATCTTCCTCTAATTCTTACATTATTTGGCTGAAGTTTTTGTATTTGTTAACTGAGTATTAAGTTTTCTTTATTTTTTTTTTTTTAATTTGTAGACACAATACCAAATTATTTTATTTTATTTGCAATAGACCGTATCTAAACCATGCTTCCACCAAGGAGTGCACTTATTTTCTCCTGAAACTGTGTTGTTTTCCTAGTACTTCTTGTATTTTCCTGTTTGTAATGTTATATTATAACAGTCTCTCGTTCTAAATGATTCATGGCTTGCTTTCCCTGTTTTAATTGCAAAATGCAAACCCTTTAATAGCTTGATTCAGCATGGACAGTAGAAATGTTGGACTAGGTCTCCCAAAATCTGTTTGCAGAGGTTGCACTAGTTTGGAGAGATTGGAGTATGAGGATATCTTCTTTGAACAGTATCTGCTGTGTTCGTCCCCATCCAAACTAGGACCACATTAACTTCTTACTCTTTTAGGGTCTTTTTTTGCTTCCACTGAATGTTTGCCGGAGTAACACCTTGATTTATGGCCCTAAACAATGAAGTCTCTTAGCAGAACTGTTTTCAGGAAAAAAACAATTTTTCGTTGAGAAAAAGGAAAGAAAACAAAAGGGACATTTTAGATTATTGATGCAATAATGCAGCCAAGCAAAAAGCCAAATAAAATAAACAATGGCATTGTATAAGAATTTTTTAAAATTATTTTCTAGACTAGCTTGGCCTCTCTATAGGATGACAACTAGATGCATAGGTGCCTGTTCTTCTAGTTGTCCCCCATTCAAATTCTTCTAAAATGGGTATACTGTTTTCCTTTGAAGTTTCTGTTCGTCTCACTTGGCAACAAGAATAGAAATGGATTTTTTTTTTTTTTTTCTCTTTGTGCTGAGTCCAGACGTATCATGTAGGACCATGCTAAGGCATCCTTATATTCTTTCTAAAGGTAGATCAACTTTTTTAGAGCCAAAGTAGTTCCTATCTTAACCTCTTGGGATTCGTTTGCGGCCTCTTAATGAATGGGTTGGGTTTCTTCCATGATGAGTTGAGCCTTCCTTTTCATTGATCTCTCCACCATTTCCAAGAGTGAGGGAGGAGTTCCAACATAGGTTTCTTCCTCATCTACCTGCATGAGGTAGTGGTCATTGGAGGGTGAGTTAAGGTCTGCTATTTGTTTTCTTCCTTATTTTCGATATTCCTTTTTCTTTCTCATTGTCACTCTGACACAAAAGAAATCTTAGATTTAGGGTTCTAGCATTTTTTCTGCCAAAAAAGATTGATTAATTTTTGTCAGTAATTTTTATGGACGGTCTGTTTCTGTGGTTAGGTGTTATTGTAATGTATATGTGTGTTTATTTTAATACATGCAAAGACATGGGAGTTTGAGGGCCGAACCAGAATATTAAAATTTGGTGGTATTCAAACTCGATGCCCAGAATCAAACCTCACGGTGTCCACATACCTAGAAAATCCTGAAGTTTTGGTGAACCTAATGTTGTAGGGTCGAGGGATGTTGTCTTATGAGATAGTGGAGATACTCAGAAACTGCATTGGATACTCACTCTATAAAAAAAAATAAAAAAGAAAAAGAAAATGGTGGTATGTTATTTCGAAAATATCTTTTGGCTATGAAGCTAAATGTTTTTTTCTTTCTTCATTTTAAGCATCGGCAACACCCATCCACTTCAGCTGCTCTAGGATTATGTTATCATTTTTTTCTATTGGTTTCTCAAGTGCACATGAATGAGAATTCACATATTTGAAAAACTGAAAATTTTTCAATACTCTTATTTTATATATGCTACGAATTTGTCAGTTGTGGCAAGAATGTCAACAGTGTTTAGTTACTCCAGTTATCTTTTCTGTTTTTATTTATCTGATATATATATTTTTTTTCAGTTACGGATTCTATGACGAATGTTTGAGAAAATATGGAAATGCAAATGTCTGGAAGCACTTCACTGACCTCTTTGATTATTTACCTCTTACAGCTCTAATTGAGAGCCAGGTTTGTGTTCTTCTTGCATACATTCCTTATATGGATTGTTAGACAGGTTCTAATAGTCTTATAATTATCCTAACGCAGGTTTTTTGTTTGCACGGAGGACTTTCACCATCTTTGGATACCTTGGATAACATCAGATCGTTGGACCGAATTCAAGAGGTACTTAATGTGCAATGTTAGTAAGCATGTGATGAATATTGAACACTCCCCATTCAAGGACTAACTACCATTGGGCTATACAATTACAATGTTTAAAAGGCATGCTTTTTGGGAAAGTGAGGCAAAGCGGGCAAGTGCATCTTGCTTCAATTGTTGAGGCTCACATGGGCATATGGCTTGGTGTCTCAAGCCTTGTTTTACTTTATTTTATTTTTATTTTTTAAGTTTTCTAAAGAAAGAAATAAATACTCTTAAAAATGTTGATTTCTCTACAATCTCTAACCAAAACTCTAATTTTCTTAATTGTCTCTAACCAACCCTTGTTTTGTTTTCATCCTTCATGCTCAAGCTCTAGATGGGTATCATGATTTCGTGTGCTTTTAAAAACATTGATACGTTAAAAGAATGTTCAATTACTATTTGTAGACTGGATTTGCATAGCATTTGAGTCAAATGCAAGAGATCACTTGTTTAGTTTTAAAAAAACAAAAGGATTACTTGAAATTAGTATTATCCATCTGATTCATGGAACCCCTCTATCATAATGTCTTAATCTTGATTTTAGAATTAGAAGGATGAAATACCTGTCATCTATAAGAAAGAATAGGACTACATTGTCTGTTATTTTCTTACAAGTGTTTTATACAACTATTTGACCGAACTATGATTACGTCTCTGTTAATTTTAATCTTTGAAGTTAATATTCGTATGATCTTTAAATGATCTTTCATTTTTGCTGGAATTATGTTTGACGATATATCTCCTAAAATGAGTGATTTTCTGGTGATTTATTATTTTGAGGCTGATTTCTATGGTTGAAATTTGTGGAAGATCGAAGATTATTAAAGATTGTTTATACGGGACTAGAGTGGGAAATTTGGAAGGAAAAAGAAGGGTCTTTACATAGTTAAATAAGTTGCATTTTTTGAAAAACTTGGGATGTAATCCATTTGGTAGCATAGTTTTGGTCATCTATTACACAACAGGTCGTTCTTTTTAATTCAACTTCATTTTATATATGTTTCTTTTATCCCTCCCTTAAAAAACGAAAAAAAAAAATAATTTCCTTCATTATGACAAGTTGGAGAGCTTTGGTTTAATTTCTTTTTTATTTTTTTTAGGTTTTGGATTTTATTCATCGTGTAATTCCCCTGTGAAAACATTTGTTTCCTGAAAGAAAAGGTGTCTAGAACCAAGTCCAGGGGTTTACTTATTTTTGGAGTATGAAGGTATTGATTTTGACTTCTTTTTGCTTGGTTAATTTGATGTAGATGAGAGTCCATGTAATTATTAATTTATTTTTAGTTTAAGAGGATGCCCTGTTCTCTAATCTTTGTACTTAGTTTTACATGGACTAAACTGTTTTGGTTCTGTTAAAATGCAAAATTTAGAGAAACATGGAAAAAAACGTAGCGTGCTTACTAAAAATATTATCATTTTGGTTCTTCGTCAATATGCTTTCTGTTGCCAGAAAATTTACCAGATCAAGTTGATGATATCTATTCTTAGTCAAGACAAAAAATTTCTTTCTTACTAATCTTCGCGTGGTTCTCTTGGAATATGTTACTAGGTTCCACATGAGGGACCGATGTGTGATCTCTTATGGTCTGATCCTGATGACCGTTGTGGTTGGGGGATATCTCCTCGCGGTGCTGGGTATACATTTGGGCAGGACATTGCCACCCAATTCAACCACACAAATGGGCTATCACTGATTTCAAGAGCCCACCAACTTGTAATGGAGGGATACAATTGGTGTCAGGTGCGTGAATTCCGGTGGATTGTTTTGCCTATTATTTTTTCTGTGCTTCTGCAAAGGACGTTGGTACATTACTTTGCCGGTTCCTTTCTTGCATTTCTCTTTATAGGACAAGAATGTGGTGACTGTTTTTAGTGCTCCAAATTATTGTTATCGGTGTGGGAATATGGCTGCAATCCTTGAGATTGGGGAGAATATGGATCAAAATTTTCTTCAGTTTGACCCTGCACCACGCCAAATCGAACCCGATACCACACGGAAGACCCCCGATTATTTTTTGTAAACCCTCGGCCGCTTGTAATCCTCCCTTAATCTGCGGTGTTACTGTGAATTTGACTTTGAAAAAGGAGCAGTCTTTGTTTAAGTTTTCACCATTCTTTTGTTTGGAGTTTGTGCTGTGATATGCTGCTCTGTTAATGGTGCGCTGAAGATTAGATTGATGAAGAAGAAGAATGACAGAAAGGCGTGGGTGGCGTATTGTGTTGTATATTTTTTCAAGAACGAACACGAGCGAGCGGTAATAACCTTTCCCTGTGCTCTGTAATTTTACGTTTTCAAAGTAGGGAGCTGATTTTTGAAACGCTTTGTAGAAGTATTATGTTTGAGATCCCAATGCTAATGAAAACTTTGGTTATTTATTTTTATCAAAGTTGTCTATGTTTCTTTCCTCGCCTATCTTCCATTTCAACTGTATGGTACCCATCTCCTATGTTTATTGTTTCTTTCCAACTTAGACTAAATCTCGTCTTCATTAACTTTTATTCTTTTATTATTAGGTACTAACCGTTCTAGTGTTTACGATAGCTTCGGAATTTTAGTATATCATCAAATAATTTTTTATTATTTTAGGAGTTTTTTGTCTCAATATATTTCAATATTTTGTTATAAAGCTTAGATAGACACTTCCTATCTTCTTTTCAGAAGATCTAGACTTTTCTTTTTAGTCAAACCGATTATGATTCTGCCCATTTTTCATTATTTAGTTGATTTTTCTAAAAAAACAAAAATTTGCGACTTCTTGTGATAGCGAAAAGACTTGCAATGCTGCCTTTGCTATTCCAAATATTTTTCCGAATCCGTTTTTTCGAAAGACTGTTCAAAAGGAAGGGTTGTTTACGAATTATTATCCATTTAAATTTTATTGATATATGATAGACACTTTTTTCATAATTTTATTGATCATTAAATTATTTTTTTTATAATTTATATATATAATTTTTAAAAAAAAAACTAAAAAATTAAGAAATAGTTTAATAATTATTTTGTTTTTGAAATTCTAAATATTGAAATTCTAAATATAAAAAATCTAAGTTTGAAGTTATTCTTATTTTTAAAATTTAAATTTGTAACCTTTAATTTAAAAAATATTATACTAAAAACATGTTGTAATTTAATTTTCTAAATTAACATAAAATATTATATCATATTTCTTATCCTATATCTTTTTTAAATTAAAATCTAAATTTAGGGAAAATCACCAAATTTAAAATTTTATTGATATAATAGATTTCTTTTTCATGATTAATTAAAGATTTTCTGTTTTATGTATATCAAATATTTCTTCAAAAATAGTTTTATAAATCAAAACTGTAAAAATTGATTTTTGTGAAAGTTTATGTCAAGAAATAGACCTTTTAACTTTTTAACTCAAGGATTAAAATATATGGTTCGGAGTTGAATTAAAAAAATAAAAAGAATTTCAAGTTCGGATCAAAATTTAAATGACTCATAAAAAAAAATGCAAGTTAATTAATAGAACTCTGTTCCTATTTACTGAACTGAAAAAATAATACATAAGTACAGATATTCGGTGATACCAAATACATGTGAGCAACATTCACGAGTGAGTCTTACTCTAACTTTCTAGAGAAAATGATGAATACTTCATTCATTTCCAATCGAGCAAGTCCAAAAGACATAATACCTCCTCCTTTGTGTGTGCAACATCACTGAAATCCATTACTATTCCAGAAACATCAGCTACACCACCATTTCCATTGCCCAAGAAAAGAAATGAGATGCATACTCGAATTCCGGACACAAGAGGGTAGAGATGTGGAAAATCAAGGTAGTCATAATAAAATACCCTGCAAGATGTTTGATCGACGTAATCGAATATAGATTTATTGACTATTTGAGCAACCTTACTAGAATCCTTGTATCCCACAATCACGGATACACTGATTGTATCACACATAGGAATTGAGAACCCTGGCTCAACTGCTAGAGTCATCTTGAACCCCGGGGCTTCTAATAGATAACTAAGCACATTAACTGTACGAGGCGTTGGGTTCTTAATACCATCTTGAAGAACTTCACCCGGAACCACCTTTGAGAAGACTAATCTGCCTTCGCTCCAAATGTCAATAAAAAACTCTAAATCATCAAACGAAAGTCGAGGAGAGAGAAGACTTCGCCTTTGAGGACATTTGTAAGAATTTTGATATAGTTTATAGTATGTCCCAGTCGGAAAATTAGACGTTTTGTAGGTTGAAGGCCACCTCTTAGCGCACAAACATTTCCAAAAGTAATCATCTCGAGCTGCGTCTCTCCACTGTCTGGATACTGCCATGCATGAAGCAAGGTCCACATCGTCCAACAAAGGAAAAACTAGATTCAAAATTTCCCATGACATTTTGTAAATAGAATAACACACGATCGATGATGTTTTATCTGCACCAATAAACCACATCATTTAAATCAAGCCCTCGAGTAAGGATGATATTGCAATCCAACTAAATTGAAAACATTCATGTGTGGAAATTTACAACAAAAAATTATACAAAACTAAGCCATGGTTATAAAATTTTTCTAACCGCAAACATAACACTAACACTCTAATCTTAAAGCCATGATCTCGAGGTGCATAATATATATATTAAATTTGAACATAGACCGAAAAAAATGAATAGCCTAAGAGAATGTCGTGAACTGCAAAAATAAAATGAAAATCAAATAGCACCATTCATAAGGTTCGAGAGAGAAGATCATACCGTAGAGAGGAACAAAAATGCTTTTATCTTCGTATTTAGGAAGGTGGAATGAGCTCGAGAAGAGGAAGAAAAAAATGTTTCGTCTCTAAATCGAAAGAGGTGGAGTGAACTGACTGCAATTTATAAGGTCCAAAATTATGTGATTTTTGAGAAAAAAATATTTGATCAGATGAATCTACCCGATTAAGTTCAAAAATACACTCCAAATTTTTAAAAAGTTAAAAAAAATATTTAAATAATTAATATTATATTATAAAAATATCTATTAAAATTTTAAAAAATGGCAACATGTTTAATAAAAAAAGATTTTATAATGTAAATGTATATCTCCCATCTAAAAATTTGTTAAATCTTTTTTCTAAAATTAAAGGGCAAGTTCATAATTTTTTTTTTTTTTTCTATTCTATTCCTATAATAACGATATAAAATATTTAAAAGGTGTTTTTGAATTTATTAAAAAAAAAAAGATAAAAGATATAAATGATTTTTTTTTAAAAAATTGAAGAATAATTTTTTAAACCATTTTAAAGGTTAAAAGAATATTTGTTTTAAAAAAAAAAACTCTTATAAATTTAAAAATATTTTTGAAACTCATTTTTGAAATTTTTAAAAATTAAAAGTATTTTTTTATATTTTTTTTAATTTAAAAATATTATTAAGAAAGTTTGAAAGTTTAAACATGTACCGGAAGGAAAATTATATGTATTTATTTATATATTCTTTGTTTTTTATATTATTTTGTTAATTCAGTTATATATATACATATATATATATATATAGGTTTTTTATATTATTTTGTTGAGTTTCTTTTATATTATTTTGTTTAATTTCTTTTATATATCCTATATATTTGTTTTTTTATTACTCTATTATTTTTATTTCTTTTATATTATTTTATTTAATATTTTTAAAAATTTTATATTTTTTTCAGAGTATAAAAACTTCAATATTTTATACTATTTTTAAACATATTCTTTATATAACTTATTGATTTATCGAATTTTAAAATTATAGATTCTTAACTGAATTTATTTAGGTTTGTTTTCTGTTGGGTAAAAAAAAAATCCCTCTACCTAATGGGACCCACCTTCTTTATTTTATTTTTTAATTAAATAATTACAACTATTAATTTATTTTTATTGTGTTTTTACTAAAATTCTTTCTTAATTCAACTTTTCAAGAACACGACACTCCACAATGGTATGATATTATTCACTTTGAGTGGAAGCTCTCATGGTTTTGCTTTGGACTTTCTCAAAAGGCCTCATACCAATGAAGTTAGTTTACTTCACTTATAAACTCATGATCATTCTCTAAATTAGCCGATGTGGGACTTTCATCATCCAATAAGAATGATGGTTGGAGAGGCAATTGTGGGTGAATATCAAAGACATACCTTTGGTTATCAGGTTTTGTTTTAGTGGTCTTGCAAGCAATAGGAATTTTTAAAATGAATTCCAAATTCGGATCAAAATATGCATCACGTTGTTTGATCGATATAATCGAATATAGATTGATTGACTATTTGAGCAACTTTATTGGGATTCTTGCATCACACAAACACGATACACTAACAGTATTATCAGATATAGGAATTGAGAACCTTAACTCAACAGAGTCAACTACTATAATCATATTTGCACTAAGAGTATTATCAAATATAGGAATTGAGAACCGACACAATAATTATGAAATGTGAATAAATAAAACCTTTTAAAAAAAATATAGAAAAGTTAACAATTTGACAACCCAACCCGAAAATAGAAGGTTTGGTTGAGTTGAGTTGTGTAAATCCAATCCAGTAATCTGAACTTTTGGGTTGGGTCAAAAAAATCTCCCAATCAACTCAACTCAGTATATGTAACCCTAGAACGGGCAGGTTTGTAAGTTTGGTTAGTTTTTCTTTCATTCTCAATTTTTTGAGATGGTAGGTGTAGAAGAGAAAAATGTTCGGGATAGGAAACAATAAAATAAAAATATATATATTTGGTCAGTCGATTTACAAAAGGTAATTTTCAACGTTAATTGGTGGCTGTACTTTTGGAGAATTCTTTTATAAAAAACATCACGAGTTAGGGTTTATAGGTATTTAGGTTGGTATTTCTCTAGATTCGAGAGTAATCAAGAGAGCTAGAACCTCAAATTTTGATATGTTGTTCTTGATGTGATTTCTCACAACGTCTGTAAAGAAACTCGGTGAAGATCCTAGCAAGAACCGAATTTTCAAGAATTTTCAAGATTCGGTAAGAACATATAAGCGCCAAAGTTTGAATACAATTATCTTAGTCTTCTATTGGTTGAAAATTATAAATAAATGAAAAAAACTTTTTTGAAGATGAACACGAACTCTATGACTTTGATGAAGGATCAAGCCGATCCGAATTCTATGCAAGAAGATACAAAAATACAAAGAAAACTATTTGAATCGAAAAAAACTCACAAAATTTGGGTTAATCACATAGGTTGAAGGAACGGAGGGACGCGTGTCAACTACTTGGTAGAAAGCGCGTTCGTATACACTATCAACACATGTTGCAAACTAGGGGGAGCAGCACATCGCCTTACCAGCGAGACACGTGTCGTTATTGAATCTGACCATTTGACCCGCATCCGACCTGCGCCCTTGAATCCGACTCTGAAATCATGACAATTGTACAACAC